GACCCACAGCCCCCCTTGGAGCAGCCACAGCCCCCCTTGGAGCACCCGCAGGACCCACAGCCCCCCTTGGAGCACCCACAGGACCCACAGCCCCCTTTGCTACAGCTGGAGCAGGAACAGGCCGGCACACAGCAGCACACGGGCTTGCAGCAGCACACGGGCTTGCAGCAGCAGCTGGAGCCACAGCCCCCGGAACAGCCACAGCAGGTCATGGTTCTGGAGATGGAGGTGGAGAGGTCAGAAGAGCAGGCAGAGAGGGAGGTGTGCAGGTGTGGAACTTCTGGACCCAGGGTCTTTATATACCTGCTCAGGTCAGGTGGACACAGGGCCACTTCCTAGTTCCTGTCTGTGCCAGAGGACCTGCCATTTCCTCCCGTGTTGTGCATTCTGGCAACTCTTTCACCACTGTGTTTTCCCCAAGGTATCTCATGTCTCTGTGGAATGCTGCTCCTCAGCCAACACCAGCGAGGTCCTGACAGAGGATCCCCCTTTCACTGAGGTGATTGGAGGCACAGAGAGAACACTGACTCAGGGACTCTGGCCTTGCCAGTTGACGTGAGTTCCAGGATCCCGGATCACCCCTCTCGGTGACATCTTTCAAAGCTACCTTTCCCATGTGGGAGGAGCTCAGGACACGAGGCCCTGGCCAGGGCCCCTTCCTGGAGGTCCTGGCACCTAGCTCTGCTGTCACGTCTGCAGGTTCCTGTCTGAGGTGATGGCCACGCCCAGTCTCTTCTTTCTGTGACAGACACGTTCTCTTCCTGCAGTGCCACCCAGCAGACGGTGCAGAGAAAGCTCAGCCTGTCCAGCGCCATCTGAATTTCAGGCCAACAGAGAATGCCTTTGCAGAATAAGCTGCTTTAAATCCTTTTTAAATTTTTATTTTTTGAATCATATTTTGCTTAGTTTTTTATTTTTCCAGTTTTATTTTTTCTGAGCGTGTGTTTGCCCTGCATAATGAGTACAGCCTCTGAGGAGCAGGCACTTGGCCTAGCCCATCTCAAATCTTCTCTCCCTTCTCCCCCACCCTCTGTCTCTTTCCCTCTTTTAATTCCTTTCTTGTTTTAAAAAGGTCTATCGCTGGGGAGATGGCTCAGTAGAATAAGCGCTTGCCTGGCATGCACAAGGGCCTGAGTTCAATCCCCAGTTCCGGGAAAAAAAAGGGTATCTCTTCCTTCTTCCTAGTGTCTAACTCCTATTTTGGTCTTTTTTTTTTTTTTCTTTCTTTCTTTTTTTTTTTTTTTTTTTTTTTTCTTTCTTTCTTTTTTTTTTTTTTTTTTTTTGGTGGAACCAGGGATTGAACTCAGGCCCTTGCGCTTGCCAGGGAAGTGCTTATTCCACTGAGCCATTTCCCTGGTCCCATCCACGTAGTACTGAAGCTTGTGCCTGATTGATTTCACTTGAACTCCTGGTCTCCAAGCGCACCCATTTTCCTACCTTTGTCCTTCTGTATAGCAGAGCAGTATTTGTATCAATTTCACATTTTCTTTGCCTAGTTATATCTTTGAGACAGGGTCTCACTATGCAGTTCAGGCTGGTCTGTGTTCCCTTTTGCATTTTTTTTTTTTTTTTTTTTTTTCGGAACTGGGAATTGAAATCAGGTCCTTGCACTTGCCAGGCAAGCACTTATTCTACTGAGCTATCTCCCCAGCCCTATGTGCTCCCTTTTGTAGCCACCAGGCTTATCTCGAACTCACAGAGACCCTCCTCAACCTTCCAAGTGCTAGGATTAGGGGCTACACAGTGGGTGCCCACATCTGGAATGCACACACCAGGGCATGTGAGACCGGGGATCGAACTCTTGTCCTTGTGCTTGCCAGGTAGGTGCATATGCCTCTAAGCTATCTGTCTGGCCCCTGTCTATTTATCTCTTGATGGATACATAGGCTGTTTCCAAGATTTAGCCATTATGAATTGTGCTACCTTAAATGTGGGTAGGCATGGATTGCTACAATTTTATGGCTTTAGCCCTTTTGTGAAGATACTTAGAAGGGAAAGTCGGGGCCAGGGAGATAGCTCAGTAGAATAAGTGCTTGCCTGGCAAGCGCAAGGGCCTGAGTTCAATCCCTGGTTCTGCACCCCCACAAAAAAAAAAAAAAAGAAGAAGAGGAAGGGAAAGTCAAACTTACCTTATGATCAAAGACCTAACAAAAAAATTTAAAACAAAAATAAACCACTGAAAAAATAAATAAATAAAAATAAACCACTGGAAAATAAAATCAATAAAGCTCTTGAAGACACAGACATAGGCAAGGACTTTCTGAAAAGAACCTGAATGGCACAAGAAATAGTACCAATGATCAACAGAAGAGATCATAATAAATTTACCAAATAGCTTAGTGGATTAAAGCGCCTGCTTAGGCAGACACAGGGGCCGGAGGTCCCATCCCTGGTCTTGCCATGCGTGCCCCACCCCGAGGCCCTCTGAGACTGCAATTGAGACTGGGTGCGGTAGCACATGCCTGTAATCTCAACTCCTGGGAGGCCGTTAACAGGTGGATCACAATGAGTCTGATCTAGTCGTGAGACCCTAAACACCCTGTAGATCCTTCCCTAGAATACAGAAGAAAGGAAGAAGAAGAAGAAGAAGAAGAAGAAGAAGAAGAAGAAGAAGAAGAAGAAGAAGAAGAAGAAGAAGAAGAAAAAGAAGAAGAAGAAGA